TGCCATTGGTTTCTGATAATGGATCATATTTAAGTGTAGATATGCCTCCTCTTCCGGTTTTCTGGTGATTATATGGATAGAACAGATGCCGACACTTTTGGAAGACGCAAAACCAGGATTGTTGCTATAGATGCAATATGCAGCCCAAGAATGAGACAGTATGAACTTAAATGTCTCTTCGGTATGTAAATTTATTTTTACAGGAGCAAAAGTTATGTGAATTTATTTTTTCTCATTGATTCTTTTTCCATACTCTTTAACTTGTTTTCCACAGGGAGGTTAATAAGGCATTTTGTGGCTTTCGTCATCAGTGTAAATATAGCCAGTGTGAGAAACTATCACCAGACAAAGGATACTGTGAATCTCGGCCTGATAAAGACAATAACAACACCAGCTCCCAGTTCATGGATTTTACTTCAGTGAGAATTCTTCGACTTCTACTAGGCCTTGTTTACATAGCGAGGATTTCTATGAGAGCATCATAATTTTTTTTCTTCATCATCTGCTTACCTGACTTTAATTTTTATTTAATAAAGTTACAGGAAGCTCCATCAATTTCTACCGAGACAAATGGAAGCAGCATGCTAAACCAAGTCATGGGAAATTCAAGTGAAAGGGGTAGTGAATCTCTAGAACGTGAAGATAACGTCGGGATTGCTACTGGGAATTGGGGTTGCGGTGCATTTGGAGGAGATCCTGAAGTGAAGACCATAATTCAGTGGCTAGCCGCATCTCAGGTAAATATTCTTTCCTGAGCTTCCACATAATTGGAGTAGCCAGCAGTATTGAATCAACTCCATAGTCTGCAAGCAGCACATATATATAGAGAATCCTTTTCCTTGAAAGCTGCAGTGGTTACATATTTTGTTTAGAGAAAGTATGATCCTTTATCCAATCTTTCATGGAGCATGTTTTACCAAACAATGACATCTCTGAAAAGACTTCACCTCTCTCCAATGCATGCATTTCGAGAGGTGTAATCATGTTGTTTAGGAAGTTAATTTTTCAAGAGCTCCGTTTTGATTGAGCATCGATA